TTGTGATTGATTGCCCCTTTCTATTTTGACTGACCTTTTGTCTCTGATTTAAGGTTCCTGTAAAGCAGTGGTCCTCAACCTTCTTAATGCTGTGACCCTTAAATACAGTTCTTCATGTTGTGGTGACCCCCCCCAACCGTAAAATTATTTTCATTGCTACTTCATAACTATAGTTTTGCTACTGTTATGAATCAGGTGACTCCTGTGAAAGGGTCGTTTGACCCCAAAAGGGGTCACGACTCACAGGTTGAGAAATGCTAATGTAAACTAAAGGCTTTCTACTCCCATAAAAAGTTATTCTCAGAAACCCACAAGGGCAGTTCTACCCTGTCTTAATGGGGTCATTATGGGTCAGAATAGACTTGATGGCAATGAGTTTTGGTGTTGGTGTTTTTTTTTGGAGACTAGATATGATGTCTAGTCTGCTGTGCAAGACTCTTTTTTCAAACCATTGAAAAGCAAGGATGTAACTTTGACAACTAGGGTGCACCTTACTCAAGCCATGGTATTTCCAATCACCTCATGTGCGTGTAAAAGTTGGACATTAAATAAGGAAGTCTGAAGAAGAATTGATGCATTTGAATTGTAGTACCTGTGGGAAATAGTGAAACTACTATGCACAGCCAAAAAATCAACAAATCTGTCTTGGCAGAAGTACAGCTAGAATGCCCCTTAAGAGAAAAGGTTGGCAAAACTTCTCACGTACTTTGAACAAGGCATGAGGAGGAGAGACTAGTCCCTGGAGAAGGACATCATGCTTAGTTACTTGCAGGTGTAGTGAAAAATATGGCTTGACACAGTGGCTGCATTGATGGGCTCAAACATAAGAACCATTGTGAGGATGGTGTAGGACTAGGTGGTGGTTTGTTTTGTCATCTCTATGATTTCAAACTGACTTGACGGCACCTTACAACAACACACATGTCATTTAGCACATAGGAGTCAAAATAGTAATAAAGTCATACATATTTTTATACATTGGCTGCTTTTATTTTTTACAAGTTCTAAAGTTCTTACCTTTAAAAAATAGTCCCAAACTCAAACCAAACTCAGTGATACCTAGCCAGTTTTGACTCAACTGCTCATGCATGTTATTTTAGAATAAAAACTCAAAGTGAAGTTATAGGAATAAATAACTTTTTTTTTTTTGGGGATTCATGTCTTTTAATTTTGGAAAGTTTTGGTCCATTATTTCTTTGGTTATTCTTTTTTAAAAAAAATCATTTTATTAGGGGCTCATAGAACTCTTATCACAATACATACATACATCAAATGTGTAAAGCGCATTTGTACATTCATTGCCCTTGTCATTCTCAAAACATTTCCTCTCCACTTAAGCCCCTGACATTAGGTCCTCATTTTCCCCCTCCCTCCCCGTTCCTCCCTCCCTCATGAGCCCTTGATAATTTATAAATTGTTATTTTGTCATATCTTGCCCTGTCCGACGTCTCCCTTCACCCACTTTTCTGTTGTCCGTCCCCCAGGGAGGAGGTCACATATAGTCCCTTGTAATTGGTTCCCTCTTTCCTATCCATTCTCCCTCTACCCTCCCAGTATCGCCACTCACACCACTGGTCCTGTAGGGATCATCCACTATGGATTCCCTGTATTTTCAGTTCCTATCTGTACCAGTGTACATCCTCTGTTCTAGCGAGACTTGCCAGGTCAAATTCGAGTCATGGTAGTGGGAGCGGGGAGGAAACATTTAGGAATTAGAGGAAAGTTGTATTTCTCATCGTTGTTACATCGCACCCTGACTGGCTCATCTCCTCCCCGAGACCCCTCTGCAAGGGGATCTCCAGTGGCCTACTAAGGGGCTTTGGATCTCCACTCCGCACTCCCCCCATCATTCACTGTGGTAAGATTTTTTGTTCTGATGATGCCTTACACCTGATCCCTTCGACACCTCATGATTGCATAGGCTGGTGTGCTTCTTCGATGTGGGCTTTGTTGCTTCTGAGCTTGATGGCAGCTTGATTACCTTCAAGCCTTTAAGATCCCAGACACTATACTTTTTGATAGCCGGGCACCATCAGCTAGAAAGCCTCATCTTTCTCCTGTGGTGGGGCTGGTAGTTCCAAACTACTGACTCTGGGTAGCAGGCCAAGGCGTAACCCACTATGCCAAGAGGACTTCCTGAATGATGTATAGTAGTTTTTAAACATCTTGTGAATTACTTACCTAAAGATTGCCTTTAGCCTTTTTCAGAATAAAATTTATACTAACCAAGGAGAACTTGAATTCCTTCAATGTATAGTGAACAATGGTTCAGTTATGTGAATTGCCTAGTGCTCTTTAACTGACCAAAATGTAATTTTCTTCTACAGAATTCTAAAACAATCATTGAAAATTTTCCCACAATTGGTCAACTGTTAGCAAAAATTTCCTGGAATCCTTTCATCTTAGCATATGGTAAGTACCCCCAAAATATCTTTTAACATAATCTTTGCATACTTTAAAAACAGAGTTTAAAATGTAAACTTTCCTCCTATTTTTTATGGAACAACTTATCAAATATATACTATTTTTTCCATTTCAGATATGGTATCCTTTATTGTTGTCTGTATATCTCTGTGTGTTTAGGTAAACACACACATGAATTGACAGGCTATTTTTATGTATAATCACTCTGTTTTGTATATTTGATTTTTGATTCAGTATAAAATGGCTATATTAATGATACCAAGTTAATTTCTTTGACTCGCTTTTTCAAATGAATTCACATACTGATTCAATGTTGTAAACTCATTTTTCAGAGTTTAAATTCTGACATTACTCTGTCATCTTTTGGCGGTGATGCTTTGGTTTTTCATAAAGTTATGAGGAATTTTAAGACTCTTGGGGGAAGTATTTCTTCACTGATCTCCTTCCTTATTTCCTGTTTATTCTTTCACACATACATGGTATGCATTGTAGCCAGGGCCAGAGTACTGGATGTTAGGGCTATGACATGCAATTTCTTTTGCATGGAATTCTGTTCTTATTTCTTGTCCTCTTACACAGGCTTTGAAAGAGCAATAAACTCAAAACCAAACCCTGTGCCTAATTCATGGTGGCCTCAGGTGTTAGAGAACAGAACTGATTTTTGAGCCTCATAGCATTTTCTTAGCTGTAATCTTTACAAAACATATCATGAGGCCATTTTTCTTTGGCACTGGGTAGGTTTGAACCACTGACTTTCAGGTTAGTAGCTGAAAGGAAACCACTGGTACCATCCAAGGACCTGAAATAACATAATTAAGTACTTTTCTTAGTGTTTCCATAGCACTCATTACACTGTCTTATAATTGTTGGTTTCCTCGTGTGATGCCCTGGAAGATTGTTAGTGTCTTGAGAGAAGGACCTGTGGTTTTAGTTCTCTTGTTGGTCCAGGGCCTTGCATACTGCATCAAGGTCCATCTGAAGGGTCTCAGTTAAGATTTTTGTGGTCTTGAATGGATTGTAATGTTAGCCAACACAATACTTTTTTTTAAGTTTTTAAAAATCAAAGACTAATGAAATAATATAATGGCATTAGAACCAAAAATATATTGAATGTTCCCCTTTGATGTGTTAGAGATAATTTTGTTGTTCTGGCCTGGCATAAGCCATTATGAGATATGTAAACTAAGTAGGGAAGGGATGACATGCACACTTGTTCTGGGAGCATACACTCATCGGTGTACTGCATCCCTAAACTCATTTCTTTCATCCCACTTCCACCTCTTTCTTCATCTTCATCCTTGGGCTAACTCTTCTTCTCTCTACCCACTGACCTTTTTAAAGATCTTGAATTGAAATAGCAAAGCTCATGAACCATTGCTATATTTGTCCACCAGGGTCATACTTAGTTGTTCAAAGTTTTGTACCTTAGCTAGGCTGGTGTTTCTCAAATGTCTTTGACCAGAAATACATTTGAAGTACATGAGTGTATACACACACACACACACACACACACACACACACACACACACCCACACACCCATACATTCAGGTGAGCACACATGCCTAAATAGACATGTACATTTGCACACGGGTATCATTAAAATGTGTTTAATGAAATGCTTATGTATAAGCTATATTTATTATATCTTAAAAATAGTGTTCACAAACTCCAAACTAATTTTGTTAGGTTTCTGTAATGGTTTGCCTTGGTTCTTGCTTCTCAACACTGAAAGAATTCACATGACAGAATCACTTTTGTAAACCCAAGTGACTTTTATGAGGGAGACGTAAGTTTCAGGTATTACAGTCTTGAAAGTACACACTATCTCTGGAAGCGTGCAAGGCCACATGGCGGGGGCCGTGGGAAAGTTCATGACCGAAAATGGCCGTTTAAGGGGATCGTGAAAACACACGGAAGTAATACTGGAACAGGAACACAGAACCAGCATGCTGAGCCAAGAGCAGGAGCTCCCAAGAGAGTGAGAGGGCCTCAAGCAGGCAGGCAGGCACCTGCCTGCCCGCTGGCATCCTGGAGGAATCTCACCTTAGCTTGCAGCGCTGGGGCTTTTTATCTCTTCCCATCCCCACTGGCTGGGGAGGTGTGGTTGAAGGCATTGGCTGACCTTATTGGCTGAGTTTAGGCTCATCTGTTTGATGTCATGTAGCTGGTGCCTAGTCTGTGTGCCCAGGTGGGCCTGGGCCTGGGTGACTTGGGTCTGAGCATGCTCAGTTCTGAATTTTCCCATAGGTGTCTAATTAGTGTGCCTGATTTTTTTCCAACCCTTTTATTGTGGCATGGACTGCTAATTTTCGTTTAGCCTAGGCATTCAGTGGGGTCAACCCCTCTTTATCCCCTTATCTAGCAACCTGTCATTCCCACTGAAGGGTGATGTTCAAAACTTTGAAAAAGAGATAGGCCAGTTATATTGATGGTAAGAGAAAGAAAAAAAAAGTGTTGAACTTCCTTCATTATAAGGCATGCTCCATGAATTTAATAACTGCCTTTTAGGATAAAAAAGAAATACTGCCACCTTAAATGTACATGATAGATATAAGACATATCCCAAATTCAGAAATGTTAAAATATGTACAAAGTTTGTGTTGCAGCATTGAAGAAGTAAGGTTAGAATCATTGCTCACTTTTCTGAGCTCTGTTTTACAAGAAATGCATGGTGTTGCTACTTGCCATAGATTGCTTTTGACTCATAGCAACTCCATGTGTTGCAGAGTAGAACGGCTTCATAGAGTTTTCTTTACTGGGTCACTTGGGGATTATTATGCATCCAAATCAGCTCAGTATCCCCTAACAACAAATCTTTTTCCCTCATAGTACTTCTGAGTGGGTTCAAACCGTTAATCTGTAGGTTAGGAATTATATTCAAATAGCTTCAAGTGACCTGTGAAATATAGTGTATGCATCTAATTGAGTTCTTGCAGGATAAGTGTTGATTTTGAGTCATTGACTTTCCCCAGAATACAAGACTAATATTGGAAGTGAAAGAGCTCACAGTTAATCAAATATTGGAAATATAACACATTTGGGGTCTGTTGAGATTTGCTTATATGCAAGCTACATTTACTATATGTAAATGGGCCCAAGATATAACAGTCCCTTCTCTTGTAATAAAAATTCCTTTTAAACTTCAAGTCAGTAAGGATACTCTAATTCAGGAAGAGGCTAAGCAGGGCTATTCCAGTAAACAGTGGAGCCTGTAACCTTAGGGTTACCAGTCTGACAGCCCCTGGAATGGTGAAGATATCAATTGATGGTCTGATAATCCCTTGGGGAAATGTAGACTCTTTTCCTGTGAGCCTTTCTTCCTTTGTCCCATTGTTTGAATGTCCTCTGATCATCTTCAAAATTTGATAATTAACCACCCCCCAACATACCACATAGTATAAGGTATATAACTTGTTTGATTTTTCCTGAATCTTTGACGCAGTCTGAGGTAGCAAACCCCAGTGTTTCCTTCTGTTAGCGCTTGCAGAAATAAACTTGGAATTTCTCGAATAAGCCTGATCTCTGCATTTGGCTGAAACAATGACAAACACTCCTATAAAAGGCCAGGATATAATTTTTTTATCCAACTCTAAAACCTACATTGTTCAATTGTGCTGTCCTTGGGTCCTGCCATCATGGTTTAAAAGGGCCAGATATTAATAGAGAGTTTTTCATATTTCAGGTTCGGGTTTAGGAGAGCTCACAATTTCTGGGCACTGGGAGCTTCTAATCAGAGAGAAACATAAGCAGATCACTCTGGTTCCCTGTGATGGTTGCTATGGGGATGGAGCAAGCAAAGCCATAAAGAGAAGTAGCCATACACAAAGCATCCTGCATGAGGCCTCAGGGGTGCTGGTCTGGTGAAGCCAGGCTTGAAAGCTCCCCACACCACTCCATTTACATAAACAAGAGTGCAGGAGGCTTTAGAGAGAGCAGCTGTTCTCAACCTTCCTAATGCCACCACCCTTTAATGCAGTTCCTCATGTGGTGGTGACCCCCAACCTTAAAATTATTTTCGTTTCTACTTCATAACTATAATTTTGCTACTGTTATGAATCATAATGTAAATATCTGATATGCAGGATGTATTTTCATTGTTACAAATTGAACATAATTAAAGCATAGTGATCAATCACAAAAACAATATGTAAACTAAATATGCAAAATATTTATTTCTAATTACAAATAAATGAAAATTTGTCTTGAAGCATGGTTTAGCATGGGTAACAGTCTTAATATAACAACAGTAAACTACATTGCTACATTTTGCGATAGCTTTCTCACCGGATCAGAAATTCTTGGAACAGTCTTTGCAAGAGCACAACGAAGATCATCTTCCACAACAAGTCTACTTCTGTATTTAGATTTGATAACAAACAAGCTGGAAAATCCTGTTTCACAAAGATATGTTGTTGGAAATGGAAGAAGGAGCAACACAGTCTCGGACAGAACAGGATATGACTGCAAACCCTTGATCCAGAATTTTGTGACTGACATTGTAGAGAAATCAGTTTGCTGTTAATAAGTTCAATGAACTCTTGTGCAGTCTTAGGAACATCTTCAACTTTGACTGTGAATGAACTTCTGGCAAGTGCAAATGTGGTGTCAGGTAGATTTGGAAAGTACGATGAAATTTTATCTGCAAGCATATGCAAGTGCTCTTTCACAGAAATTATCATCGTAATCCTTTTTTCTGGTTCAATATCATGTTCCTCAAAGAAAACAGATAAGGTAGGCAACATGTAAATCTTATTTTTATCCAATTTTTTGGGGGGGGGCCCAAAGTTGAAGTTTCATTTGGAATGATCGGATCTTTTCATACAAATCGAGGCATGTTGCATTTGCTCCTTGCAGTGATCAATTGAACTCATTCAAGATGGCAAAGATGTCAACCAAGTAAGCTGTTTTCTGCAGTTCACTTTTATTGCTGAAAAGTGTTTCAAACTACGGTCTTGCTTTCTGATTCAAAAACATTTTGAGTTCATCA